CAGTACAGCTACTTTGGAAAACAGTTTGGCTGTTTCTTAAAAACAATTTTTTTTAATGTTTATTTATTTTTGAGAGACAGAGAGAGACAGAGCATGAATAGGGGAGGGGTAGAGAGAGAGAGGGAAACACAGAATCCAAAGCAGGCTCCAGGCTCTGAGCTATCTGCACAGAGCCCAACACGGGGCTCACACCCATGAGCTGTGAGATCATGAGCTGTGAGATCATGACCTGAGCCGAAGTTGGATGTTTAACCGACTGAGCCACCCAGGCACTCCCAGTTTGGCAGTTTCTTGTAAACCTACCCTGACCATAAGATCTGGCAGTCACACTGCTTGATATTTATCTAAATGAGGTAAAAACTTATGTCTACACTAAAACCTACAAATATTTATAGCAGTTTTATTCATAATTACTGAGACTTGGAAGCAATCATGATATCCTTCAGTAGGTAAATGAGTAAAGTAAACAAACTGTAGTATATCCAGACAATGGAATATAATGAAGCACTAAAAAGAAATGAGCTATCAAGCTATGAAAAGTCACGGAAGAAACTTAAATGCCTGTGACTAAGTGAAAGAAGCCAATCTGAAAAGGCCACAACATGGAGATGGTTAAAAGATTGGTGGGTAGGGCAGGGGACACGAACAGGCAGAGTATAGAGGACTCTCAGAGCAGTGACAATACTCTGCATGATATTATAATGATGCATATTGGTCATTATATGTCCCTCTAATCTCATAGAATATAAAATACCAGTGGCGAACCCTAATGTAAGGTATGAACTTTGAGTGATTATGATGCATCAGTGAGAGTTAATCCTTGGTTAAAAAAAAAAAAAGGTACCATTCTGGCAAGTAATGTTAGTAAGAAGGTATATGAGACCCCTCTGTACTTTCCCCTCAATTTTGCTGTAAACCTAAAGCTGCTCTAAAACAGTAATTCTTAAAAAAGAAAGTGGGGAGGAATAATGTAATTGTCAGATGTTAGAATCAGGATGAAAACATGAACTGATTCATGGGCGGAATCTCCAAAAACAAAATTTAAGAGAGATAAGGTGCTCCAACAGTAACTCCAAAGGCAAGTATAAAGACACTCATCAGCAACCTCAGAGGCTTTAATACAGGGGAAGAAGTAGGATTATAATGAGAACCATGTATCATGTGTGTAATATGCAGCATAGTTAGGGCCATCATGCATAAATAAAAGCAAACAGATTCTACATGACCCAAAGAGGAAGTGTCAGTTTCGAGGGTCAGAAGAGCCAGGAAAAGAGACGTAGCCTCAAGACAGGAAAGAAATTTCTTGGAGTGAGAACTGTACACGCGATGAGTGGCCTGTGTCAGAGTCTGGTGTCTGGCACCCGACGAGTTCAATCCTCTGCTGCAGCCGAGACTCAGCTATCAAACCAGTAACTTGCAACCGGTATCTCAGGGCCAATCTAACTCCAAGATTCCATGATTCTGCAACATTTTTATTAAAAGACATTTAAATCCAGAACACCACATTAAACCAAACCAAGGCTGAAAAATCCTACCACCTGGAAACAAATATTCAGAGGTTCATTGTGTTGAGCTGTACCTTACAGCACATAAAGTGGACTCCAGGACTAAGAATAATTGAAAGTGAGGTTCCGCTATCAACAAAACTTAAAGCTGGCAATCGACTTCTGTTTTAGATCATTTATTATGAGAGTTTTTTTTTTTTTTTAAATAGGTAATACGTTCTTATTCTCCCTCTTCTCAACCACCTGGTTCTCCTCCCATGGGACAACTAAAGTTACCAGCTTCTTGTGTATACTTCCAGAGATATTTTATGCATCTAAAGCATTTAAATCCATTTTGTGCCCAACCGCTGTTTTAACTAAATGGTAGTATATTTTGTACATTGTTTTGGACTTTGTTCACTTGTTTTAATAGTACATCCTTGAAAATCATTTCATATTAATACATAAAGAGCTTTCACATTCCTTATTTCTAAGTGACAGTATAATATTTCATTTTTGACATGGATACGGTTCCTAAAATAGACTATAATTCCTCATGAATAAAGCTGAAGACCAGTGGAATTAAATAATAACCATTACTTTTATTTTTTAAAAATTTGTTTTGTGATGTTAGATTATTTATTTTGTGCACCTGTGGCAATTACTAAGATCTCAGTGGTGGTATGGATTTGACTCAGCTCTGCAACTGAGCATGGCATGAGGCCTAGAAAATGATATCAAGATCCCAGTAAGGAGTGGGGAGGGCTGAGAGCTGGACATCTGGGCTAGCAGAAACATCAAAGCCTAGGAAGGAAGGAATAAGAGTGTAGAGTAGGGGATGCACCCCTGTCTCTTTGCTTCCTCCCTTTTCCTTTCTCTCCCACGGACCCAGGCCCCTGGGATTATGTTAGATCTGTCTCTGAAGCCAAAAGATGGAGGAGAGAGTTGGCTCTAAGGAGCCAGTGTCTAAGCCAGCTTTGTTGGAGATCCTGTATCATATGAGAAGGGTGAGGAGAGGCCATGACTATTTCCTTTTCCATTTTCTATGAAAGGTGAGAAAACAAAGACCTCTCTCTCTCCCAACTCCTCTGGAGGGCATGAGAGGAGAGGGCATGAGAGGAGAAGGGCTGGAAGCCCTGAGGTCTCCCATGAGGCTGCACATCCCACAGCAAGGACTAAGAGTTTGGATTATATAAACACATTACTGGAAGAGCTCTAAGCCAGGATTAACAAGCACAGCTGGGGCAAGATTGCCCAGAATCTGACTGGGACCCTGGCAGTGAAAGCTGGGACTGTTGAAAACCCAACTTAAGCGTCTGGACTCAAAGAGAGAGTGCAAGGGGCCGAGATAACTGGATACCAGGACAGGCAGTTTGGCAGTGAGGACGAGGGGAAGAGACTCAAGATGCCTGGATCCCTGGAGAGAAGAGGATGAGAACTGGAAGGAGAAACGAGGGCTGGGAGAACCCAGGAGCCTGGGTTCTGGCATAGGAGCAAGTCAGAATTCCAGGATCTCTGTGTACCCTCTCCTTTTCCCTCCATCAGGCAGAAGAGAGGGCAGGAGGGGGCTGGAGAAGGGGTCAAACCATGGGTTTAGTCCCCAAGTAGCCACATGAATACATTCAGGGCCAGACAGACACAGGAATGGTGGGGGAGAGAGGAATTTAGCACTGCATTGACCCTGGAGGGGGCTGGGAGGGGTCAGGAGGCTGGGGAGGGTGCTGGGACTTGGTCCTGGGGTTCTACGACACTGTCCTTTGTTGTGGTCTTGCACACAGCAAGACCACAGCCCTTCTCTTCCTCATCACTCTCCATGGAGCTCACACCAAATGCCCGCGGTTTCTCATGAATGACAGCAGCCTTTGATGGGTGGCGCCCCATGTGCTTGTTGTCCACAGTGTCACTTGTCCATTCTACCATCTTCTCTGGCTTCTGTTTCTGAAGTTTGATGGTTAGGCTCCTGTCCTCTGTCTGTCTCTCTGGCTCAGTTCTCTCAGTGACGGTCGCACTCAGCCGGGCCCCATGGCTAAGACTGAGGAGAGGGCGGAGGGGAAGAAGGGGGTGAGACACCCTTCCCTTTCTCTGTGTCTCTGGGTTTAAAACAGTCGGTAGCGACTCAGAGCAGCAGCCAGGATCCTCCACCTTCTTTCCCCTCACCCTGGGCCTCCGTTTCCCCACCCCCGGGGCTAATCTGTCCAACCTGACTTCCAGCTCCAATAACCATTACCATCAAAGTCAGTTATTTTGTTCTTACCTCAAAGCATACAGCTATCTTTAAAAAAAAAAATTATAATTATACAAAATAATATCTACAGCCTTTTAAAAAATAAGGCCTTGTATAGAGTAATAAATTGCTTCCCAATTCATTATGGGAAGATAACACATTTGTTTATCTTGTTTTTGTAAAACATGTTTTGAAAGTTTAGTCACAAAATTAAATCATGAAAAAATATAGCTCTATGAAGAAAAATTAACTCCTGTTAAAAAAAAAATTGGGGCGCCTGGGTGGCGCAGTCGGTTAAGCGTCCGACTTCAGCCAGGTCACGATCTCGCGGTCCGTGAGTTCGAGCCCCGCGTCAGGCTCTGGGCTGATGGCTCGGAGCCTGGAGCCTGTTTACGATTCTGTGTCTCCCTCTCTCTCTGCCCCTCCCCCGTTCATGCTCTGTCTCTCTCTGTCCCAAAAATAAAAAATAAAAAACGTTGAAAAAAAAAAATTAACTCCTGTTCAGTGTGCAGCCTATCATCCTTGGAAACATTGTATTTTATTCATTTTGAGTTAATGCATGCACCTGAAAAGGAACAACACACTTATAACTCAAATGATTCTAATTTGGAATAAATTCAGTTTGGTTTTCTTTCAAGACTGAATAAAAGCCGCTAAAATGTTTTGAACTAATAGGATGAAGGAAAAGTCTTACAGTGATAGATACAGCTTCTTACAAAAGATAAAGAAATGGAAGCTAGTTCATTAATTAAAGAAAAGAAAAAAACAGGGATGCCTGGATGGTTCAGTCGGTTGGGCGTCTGACTTCAGCTCAGGTCATGATCTTGTGGTCCATGAGTTGGAGCTCCGCGTCGGGCTCTGTGCTGACAGCTCAGAGCCTGGAGCCTGCTTCAGATTTTGTGTCTCCCTCTCTGTCTGCTCCCCCCGCCCCCACTCATGCTCTGTCTCTCTGTCAAAAATAAATAAACATTAAAAAAACAGCTGGACAAATAAACTAGAAATGACACAGGGGAGGGATTCTGATTGAAACACAAACCACAAATATAAAAGCCTGTTAACTCTGCAGTGATCTCTTGACTTTGGAGATTTTCATCCAACACTAAATTTTTACTGCTACTCGGTGACTAAAAATACACCGGGCGGCCTAAAGGCAATTTTTCAGGGCAGCTGCCCTGCAGACTCAGGTGCATCTCTGGCGTGCAGGCCTACAAAGCAGCAACGTAGCTCCAGGAGTGTGCGCACAGCTGCTCCAACAGAGACATGACATTCATTCCAACATAGTATTTCCTATCTCTCAAATGGCATTAAGTAATCTAAGGTTAGTGTGTCATCCAGGGCACGTCTTGATATGGAGGTGACTTCTGCTCATATGTCCTAAAACAACTATATTAGGACAAGAGTTCCAGTTTCCATATTCTCTTTCTTGTAAATGCCATTTTTTTTTTTTTTTAAGTTTTGCACTGCAGTGTGATTTGCCACAATAGGAACTAGATAAAGGTCTGCTAATTGAACAATACCTCTTATCTATTACGCTATTTAACCCATGCAAAAATAGGCCTTATTATTCCCATTTGACATTACCAAAGGGTGATGTTGGGTATTCTGATGTCCAGAATAACGTTCTTCTCACTACACACTTATGTTTAAGGAAGAAATCCCAACCTTATACTTTCAATACAGAAATGAACATGAATAAGAAATGACCTTCAAAGACTTGTCAGAAATTTGGCTTGTATGTTACTTCTCTGATCCTGTAAAAATTACAGACGCTCTTGCTTCAGACTCCCTTAGGTACCAACGAAGGCAGCTATGTATGCTCCAGCTTTGCTCCCAGGACTTTATGAAATGGGTGTTAAAACGTACATTAATTTTTTAAAAAATAACTTCACAGTGTAGAAACCTAACAAACACTAACTCGTTAACAATCAAAGTCAACAACAACAGAGATATGCTGTTGATATCATGTTGTATGTACTCTTCATATGTTCCAACGAAAATGGCACTTTACCTCCATGATCTTCTACCCCCAAACCTACACTGGTGTAAACATCAAAGACACACAAATTAAGGGATATTCTACAAAATACCTGGGCAGAAATCCTCAAAGCTGTCTAGGTCATCAAAAACAAAGACTATCTATAAACTTGACAGTCTAAAGTAGTCTAAGAAGAGATGACAATAACATGTAATGTGGTGTCCTGAATGGGATCCTGGAACGTTAAAACAACAGTGGAGAAAACCTAAAGAAATCGGAATATAGTATGGATTTTAGTTGATATGGTATCAATATATTATAGTAATATTATAGCATATAGTATAGCATAATAAAGTACTTTAATATAGTATGGTAATAATATAATATCAATATTGGTTTAATAAGCGTAAGACTTATTAGTCTTACACACTAATGTAAGATGTTAACAATAGGGAAACTGGGTGTGGGGTATGTGAGAACTCTCTATTACTTTTGTGAATCTAAAATCACTCTAAAATAAAAAGTTTGGGGCGCCTGGGTGGCGCAGTCGGTTAAGCGTCTGACTTCAGCCAGGTCACGATCTCGCGGTCCGGGAGTTCAAGCCCCGCGTCAGGCTCTGGGCTGATGGCTCAGAGCCTGGAGCCTGTTTCCGATTCTGTGTCTCCCTCTCTCTCTGCCCCTCCCCCGTTCATGCTCTGTCTCTCTCTGTCCCAAAAAAAATAAATAAAAACGTTGAAAAAAAAAATTAAAAAAAAAATAAAATAAAAAGTTTATCAAATCTAATTAAATGCAAAAGCAAAGATACATTTATAAACTCCTATTACAGAAAATACTATTGCAAAGAAGGATCAAGCAGAATGGAACGAGTTCCATAACCTGATGACTCAAAACAGTTATTTTTAATAATTTGGTGATAACACACTCTCTACTAAGAATCATCATATGTAACTAACTTCTCTGATTCTTAACCATATAATAATGCATAATACAAAAAACGTGTTTTAGGCTATGCAGAAGAATTTGACAAAATCTAATGTGCTTTCATGATAAAAACACACAACAAAGTAGGACAGGGAACGTCCTCAACCTGACACAGGGCATTTATAAAAAATAAAAAACAGGGGCGCCTGGGTGGCGCAGTCGGTTAAGCGTCCGACTTCAGCCAGGTCACGATCTCCCGGTCCGTGAGTTCGAGCCCCGCGTCAGGCTCTGGGCTGATGGCTCAGAGCCTGGAGCCTGTTTCCGATTCTGTGTCTCCCTCTCTCTCTGCCCCTCCCCCATTCATGCTCTGTCTCTCTCTGTCCCAAAAATAAATAAACGTTGAAAAAAAAAAAATTTTTAAAAATAAAAAACACATTTACACAATGGTGAAAGACTGAAAGTTTTTCACCCTTAAGGTTGGGAATAAAAAAAAGTGCAGTGTTTACTACTACCATTCAGTGTTATACTAGAAATTCTACTCAGAGCAATTAGTTAAGAAAAAGAAATAAATGGCAAATAATTTGGAAAGGAATAAGTAAAAATATCTCTTCATAGCCATCAGGACAGTTGTTATTTAAAAAAAAGAAAGAAAATAATAAGTGTTCGCAAGGATGTAGAGAAACTGGAACCCTCGGATATAACAGTGGGAACATGGTGTTGGTTCTTCAAAAAGTTAACATAGAATTACCATATGACCCAGCAATTCTACTTTTAGGGATATACCCAAGAGAAGTGAAAAACTTCAAGACAGATGTTCATAGCAGCATCATTCATAATAGCCAAAAAGTAGAAACAACTCAAATATCCACCAGCTGATAAATGGGCAAACAAAATTTGATGTATCTGTATGATGAAATATGATTCAGCCATAAAAAGACATGAAGTACTCATACGTGCTACCACATGAATGAACTTTGAAATCACTATGCTAATTGAAAGACACCAGACACAAAAAGACCACCTATTGTAAGATTCCATTTATTTTTTATTTTTTTATTTTTTTAATTTTTTTTTCAACGTTTATTTATTTTTGGGACAGAGAGAGACAGAGCATGAACGGGGGAGGGGCAGAGAGAGAGGGAGACACAGAATCGGAAACAGGCTCCAGGCTCTGAGCCATCCGCCCAGAGCCTGACGCGGGGCTCGAACTCACGGACCGCGAGATCGTGACCTGGCTGAAGTCAGACGCTTAACCGACTGCGCCACCCAGGCGCCCCTGTAAGATTCCATTTAAATGAAATATCCAGAAAGGTAAATACATAGACACAGAAAGCAGATTAGTGGTTGTCAGGGGCTGGGAGAGGGGTTTATAGGGAGGGACTGCTTAATGGGTACAGGCTTTTCTTTAGCATGATAAAAATGTGTTGGAACTATACAGAAATGGAAGTTGCACAGCACTGTGAAAGTACTAAATACCACTCAAATGTATACTTAAATTTTTTTTTTTAATTTTTAATTTGGGGGGGGG